GTAGAGCTTGAATAGACGAAAAGTATCCCAAATTTAATACGCTCAGGTCTGGTGATCGTGCTGGCTGGCAACGCACCTTTATCTCCCATTCATTAATAGTCCCTGCTTTCTCTAGCTGGGCATCATTTTCGAGAACATGGGGTCCCGCATTATCTTGTTGGGCGATAATAGTAGAGCCTCTGCGAACTAATATATACTTTTAGCTTGAAAATAATTTTAAAAAAAAAGGTACATACCTGCTCGGTTTGCAGGAAAAACTTTGTCGACAAGAAATTTCCGGTAAAAGGACCGAGTCATGGACACACTCTTAGTAACAAGTGTACATTTAGGTCGAATAGCAGAGCTACGAAGGGCTTCAACCCTTTTAACTACATGTATAGGCCAAATTCCGATCTTACCATAGAAGTGCTGCTTTTTGTGGAAATCGTATCGGGGCCGCGCAACTTGAGCCAAAAACATGATTTTACCGATGTACCTTTTGTTCAGACATGACCGATAGGGAAGTTGCTCATTTGCAGTCAGGTAATACTTCGTGGCACACTTATATAGGTTAAACCACTTTTCATCGACATGCACGGTGTCATACATGTGATGCATTCTATACATCCTGGCACCTTAAAATTTTAAAACACGATCGGGTTTTATTAGTTAAGAAAATAGATAACTATTAAAAACAATATATTGCATGTTACTATACCTAGCGGCAAGTCAGCGTGACTTAACACCCATTGAAGACGCTTGGTCTTGTGGTTATTCGTAAGTGTAGGCTTTACACGAGAGGAGGCGCGGCGTAGTGTTCCGTCGGCTAGGTGGCGCTGGAGTGTACTTCTTGGTATTCCGGTTGCAACGGCGAGGGAGCGATGAGTCTGACGTTGGCACAGAGGTATAGAATGTACCAGCTGCACAGCCTCGTCCAACGTCAGATATCTTCCACGATTCGGCTGCACCCGTGATGGGGCGGAACCGTCCACCTCGCCACGGATGCACCACACTTTCTTGATGCTGTTGCGGGAGAGGTTAAACTCTATCATAGCAGCACAGATAGCTCCAAGGAGAAGCTTACCGCGAACACTCCGCTCCGCTAGGAATAGCACAATGCGAAGACGTGACGTAGGCGTGATATCCTTCTTCCCGGGTGGTTTTGGCATCTCGACGATTGTATTTCGAAAAGTGACTGAGTGCGTATAAGCCTCCGCCAACCATGAAATTGGTGGTCTGTACCTAGCCATATAACTTGATTAATTTAAGCCAATGGAATGGTCGTGTTCCTTTAGGTGCGATATATAAAAAACCAATTGTCATATTGGAGTGGGCCAGAGAAGTACGAGGGAGCACAAGCAGGTGATCGCTTCTTGTAGAAGAAGAAGCGTCAAATAGACGTACCAAGGCGATAAAAATCAGTGTCGTCCAGGAAGAAGAAAGCTGGCCACGTGCCAGCGACGGAAATTGAACCTGTGGTAGAGGCGTGGGTTTAGGCTGTCGCAGTTTATAAACTGCTTATAATACAGAAATGGTGAAAATATGACCTAAGACAGGATTTTAGTTCCCTACCCCTAAGACTTGTCGGATCGATCAGACGAATCGAGCAGTTTAATGAAATTACCGGTAACTCAAATGTGGCTACTAAACTGACAAGTCCGTCAAACGTAGCGCCCAACTTGCAAGCCCGTCGAACGAACAAGTTAATCCCGTCAGTGACGAGGTTTCGACGTGGACGGCCCCAGAGCATTCAGTTGACCAACGTGTCTGATCGAGCTGTGTACCTACTAGCACACGACTCGATCGCGATGTGGATTCCAGATGGGGATTTGCCACGAGGTGACGGCTATGCGCGTCTGGATTCCAAGAAGAATCAAGACTGGCAACTGTTGGCCTACGATGGTTGTAGAGACCGCGAGCTCTTTCAGCGTGAATGTGAAATCTACGAGCAATGGCTTGCAACTCAGCCTTCGGCAGTTGATCGACCAGACTATCCAGAACCCAGTAAGGTGCTAGCACGACCTCTAGAAGACTCGCTAGTGGATTCTAGTGATCGTCTGACGTGTGCAGAGCGCTGGGCACTGATCCTGGAGGAACGTGAACGAGTGGAAGCCTGTCTGGCGTCTGGGGTGACAGCCGGGGAGAGATTGCGAGCTCTTTCAGCGTGAATGTGCAATCTACGAGTAACAGCAGCATTCAATCAGTAAAAACCCACAAAATAGCTGTGTGGCTGCTCTTTTCGATGGCGCAAGTAACGTTTCAATTGGGCTATTCCTCTTGATGATATCGACCAAAGTGTGCAAGCTGTTCAAAGCGGCTACTAAATTGACCATTTCACTTATTAAAAATTGCTTCACATCAGGTTGCTTTGACCCTGTCTGCTGCGGCTGGCATCTGAAATGCTTGCGATTGCTTTGTTTCAGGTGGAACTGAGCAGAAGATTCCTGTCTCCATGGCGTCAATAGAAAGGCGATCGATGACATGACGCTTCGAGAAGGTCTCGAAGCGCTGGCGAGCCGGGACAATATGCTCGGGGAAGTCTTTCGCATTGGTGTTAAAGATCACAGCAAATGCGTTTCAAGATTGACAAAGTGCCATCCACTCGGGCACTTTGCTTTTGCGCGAAGTTTTCTTCGGCGCATTTCATCGGAGCCCATGGAAGCGTCCGATGTAGTAGTCGTGTCTTTGACTCGCTAATGGATCAATGTACATGCTGACGGTCTCAGCGTCATCATTGATGGCGCTGCACACCTACAGTCCTATTAAGTTCGGCTGCGAAGTCGCACCGAGCCTGTCAGCGATTTTGGATGCGGTTGGCATCCAGGGAGCGCGTACTGCACGTGTAGTACACGGAGAAGAAGGCGGTACCGATGCAGGTGGCTGCGCCTCTTCTTTATTACGCGAACGCTTCGATCCTGGAACGTCCGGAACATCGTCACGAGCTCGCCGCGACCCAACAGGGAGGTCGGGCGTTGGTTCGGTCGACTTACAGTCGGCAGCTGAAGCGGAGGAAATCTCGTCTTCCGTGGAAGCTTCTTCAATGTCAGACCCATAGTCGATGGGTATGTCTCCTTCAGTAGACATAACTGACGAAGCCTCCATTACGACGGAAGGCCTGTCAGTATTAGCTTGCGTGCACTTCTGCTTATGCAGAGTGTGGTATTGAGCGACAGAGAGTTTGTCTTCTGTCGCGGGTGTGTTTGCTTGCGCGGACACCGAAGTGGTGGTGCTTGCGGGTGCAGGCACGGACGTAGTATAGTCGGCCGGAGCAGACTCTTGCGTGGGCATCTTCCTTGGTAAGCTCATTGCGAAATGAGCTCGGGGTTGTCGACGGTTTCGTCAATACTTTGAGCGATGTGTTAAGAATAGTGAGTTTTAGGGGATGGTGTGACGGGGCTACACGCAAGTGGCTATATGTAGCCTCTTCGTTACGAAGAAGCTTAACCACGTTGGTGTGAATCTCACTGTGAGATACTCCAACGGCTACGATTATTGGTCTGCATGTATTTACGGCACTCATTGGTTGAAAACCAATATCTTTAACCAATTAGAATAGTAGGATTCTGTCAGCCATTCGCTGGCAAATACCTTTCGTTTATAATATTACATTAGGAGGAAACCCTAAGCAAACCACATTGAACAGCTCTCAATTTTACAGGAAATCGGCTTAAGTCTCCGATTAAAGAAAATTTATACTTTCGTTTAGTTCATCTAAGTGAAAAGCATATTTCGCTTCCTCCGTTAACGTGTAAGCCGAAGTACATGTGGGCACAGAGCTGGCTTATTACACTATCGGAAAGATAGCCAGCTGCATATCATGCACGACGTTTTCTCGTTGTTTTTTTAGTGGCCTTTTGTAAATCTGGTCATTTTGCACTTTGATTTTCATACAAAACGAAGGTTTTGTGCTGCGTTTTCCGCTACATATATTTCGCCATGTGCAACATCAAAAGACAGAAGAATAATGTAAGATTGGACTGGAACAGTAAAAATATAATAGTTATGTAAGAAACTGCCGCACGAGAAACCTGTACCTGTACAATTCATTCGCCGCTCAATTGGGGCCAAAGATGTCGGAAGCTGCGTTTGATAGCTCCTGCAATGGAGCGAACTCATTAATATAAAAAACGAAACCGATTGAACAACTGTTGAGGAGTGATGAATTTGTCGGAGCAGCGAACAAAGTGAACTACTTGTGAGCTGCAATGCATTGTGACAATGTGTGGAAACCAATTTACAGTACACGTACTTGTTAAGTACATGCAATTGCTTTTACTTGCACGTCAGGTACGTCAGGCTGCTTTGACCCTGTCTGCTGTCGCTGGCATTTGAAATGCTTGCGATTGCTTTGGTGCCCGGATTCTAGAACAGTTGATGTTGAAGCATTGTGCATCGGAGCTGCTGGTGGATTGTGCTGGTCAATCCAGTCAGCAAACTTAAAGGTTCGTTGCATTGCACGGGTCGTCAAACGTAGCTTCCGACCACCCGAGCGTCCACTTCTCAGGCACATCTGTGACCCAAAAGCTCGCGATCGCGGCCCGACCCCATCGCAAGATTTTCGATTTCGCCTGATGTCCATGAACTCGTTACGAACACTACACATGACCTCCGAATCTTGGCATGATGATGATCGAGGCGGCGCTTCGACATCGCCACACGTTGGACAAGTTCTCGACATCGCAGCCTGTGATTTTGACTCAGCAAAGCAAGGAATTCCCCCTTTGTCATCAAGAGCCAGCAACGGTTCATCTTATTATACAGCTCGAGTTTGCTTTGAGTCTATAGAAACCCTCGCCGCAGCATTACAAATTCCTACCCACCGGCTGCTTGTTCACGACGGGACATGCTTTCACATTTCGCACCTAAAGTCTTTGTTTGTGTCCGATCCCCCTGCACATCAAAAAGATCTGCCCGTCCGTATAAACAACACCTCGACACTTCGTACAGTACAAAGCACGAATTTCTCGCTATCAGTTCCCTTCACTGTGAAGAATTCTAGGTAGACACCATTTGACAGCAAAATGAAAGTATCAACTGGTTTCGTCGTGGCTGCCTTGGCTGCGTTAAGTGTCAGCATTAACGCTCAGTCAGCAAGCACATCCGACCTCGCATCGGGGTCTTCAGACCCAAGCACGGAGCAAACGCTCGCGGCATCTTCGGACTTGACCGGCTCATCGATCGAAGGCTTGGATGAAGGCTTGACCACCGATTCGTCAGCTGATACTAGCTCTCTCGGGGGCTATTCCACCGAGGAATCCACGACACAATCTTCAGGCGAGACAACCTCCTCTTTACCTACCGAGGACTCTTCGGGTATGACAGAGACTTCCTCGAGTTCGACAACAGATTCATCCGAGGAGACTACCCCGACCGATTCTTTTGAAGAGACTACCCCGACTGATTCGTCCGAGGAGACTACCCCGACCGAATCGTCTGGGGAAAGTCCGACCGAGTCTGGCGAGAGTAGCTCGACCGGTTTAACGGAGCAGTCCACGTCTGAAGGTGGCTTTACAGACGAACAGAAGTCGATTTGGGTAGAGCGCCACAACTACTTCCGAGTGCAGGCTCTGCCTTGGTCAGCAGGAAACATGCAGCGAATGAACTGGGACGAAGACCTCGCAAAGGACGCCGCTGCCGCGACTGCGAGCTGCGCGGCTAAAACTACCACCGGCCTCAACGTCTACGAGTCCACATCAACTGACCCGTCCACAGCGATAGAGGACGCGATCAACGCTTGGGTTGTTGAGCCGGCACTTAAGAATATCGGTAACGTTGTCGCACCGGCAAAGGAGGGCGACGCTGTAGGCGCAGGACTCTACAACGCGTACACACAGGTGATCTGGGCTTCGACGACTGGAGTCGGATGTGCCATTTCCAGCTGCTCTGGCGGATCCATGGTGGCGTGTGAGTATTCGCCGGCAGGAAACGACGGCAAGTCGGCGTGGTATGTACACTATGCGCAGGCGAAGAGCTGTCCCACCGGTACGACAGCTCAGCTTGGTCTTTGTGTTGTGGAAGGCGACTCGAAGAACGACCTCATTGCGCCGATCCCGGACGGTAAATGGACGTACGAGGTGTACCCGACGTTCGTCGCTGACCTTATGTCCACGATCTTGAAGGCGGCTAAGGCGAGAGACACGCCTGGAAACGCGCCGGCGAGTACAAGTGCCCCGGATGGGTCAGCAATGTACGAGCCGAGCCCGGAGGAGTCGAGCTCAGACACTGAACAGACCGCCAGCTCGCTCGAGACGGAGACGTCGTCTAGTTCCACGACCGATGAAACCAGCTCGCTCGAGACGGGGACGTCGTCTAGTTCCACGACCGATGATACCAGCTCGTCAACGCAAAGCGGCACCAGTGGTGAGGACTTGCTGACCGAGTCTTCTGGAGATACAGCCTCGTCCTCGCTTGACGACGCTGCAGCGTCGGCGGAGACCGATTTGTATACCAGCGGTTCCTTGGAGGATACTCCTTTGCAGGTCGAGTCTTGCTCTGGATCATCCCCGGGAACGTCCGCAAGCTCTGAAGAGACCGCATCTTCAGAGCTTGGCGGTGGATGGGAGGCGTCTTCCACTTCATCATCGTCGGATACCACGTATACTTCTTCTACAGAATCTTCGGCGTCTACAGACACCTTCGACGATACTAGTTTGTCACTGCTTGGAGGCTCTGCAGAGACGCCATCATCTGCTGAGAGCTCCGGATCCTCGCCAGAGTCGCCTACTGAAGATGAGGAACCGGGCACGGTGAAGCCCAGCTCAGCCACCGGCTCGTCCTTTAGAAACCAGGCATCGTCACCGTCATCGGGATCGGCGACGACCAGCTCGGGCAGCACCCCCAGCACGGACTCAACTAAACAGGAAGACTCGACCAAACAGGAAGACTCTACTAAGCAGGAAACCAGCAAACCAGCGTCCTCAGATGCGGACCCGACGACTGCAGTCTCGGCCAAGAACGCGTCGGGCGTCGCTACTACGGCCGGTGCTGCGATCTCCCCTGCAGGTATCGCCGGTATCATCGTACTCGGTGTCGTGGCTGTGGCCGCTTTGGCCGTTTTCGTGAGCTACCGTAAGAACCAGCAGCGACAGCAGGACATGATGCGCAACGGCGGTATCCAAGTCATTTAAGTCCCAGGTAATTTTCAAGAAAAGCTCGGCGATTTTTAGGAAACCCGCGCCAACGTCATGAAACGTACGCGGTGTGCGTCGTCGCAGGTGGAAGAGAGAGAGTGAGATACAATAGCGCGGCGAGGCCACCACCAGTGAGCATAAAGTCAATCGAATCCGGTTTAGTTTAATCTGATCCTCCCGCTTTCGCAAAGCACAAAGGCTCGGCATGATCGAGGTTACATGTATATTATAATAAGAGCGCACATCGATCAACCTCGGTTGATCAACAGAATAATGTAGATACAGGCGCTAATGCCCTGAAGAGTGAATATTAATGCATGTACCCTTTTCGACTGCGCTGCTGAAGTGTTCAGGCACCGGTATGGACGCTGACGCCGGCACAAGAGTATGACGGTTTTTGAGATGATGTTGAGGTTATCGTGCCCACGTCTTTCGTGGCCGATGCTGAACGGATGAGATATCGGACTTGAGTTCAGATTCATTTACAGGGTATTCGGTGAGGCGGGGTAAAACGTTCTGAACGCGCCTTTAGTCGCTCGCAGAAGCGTTCCACTGCCAGGAACCGTCGGTGGCGATTCGATGGCGATAATGGCTCATCGATATGGCAAAACGGCCACCTTACCGAAGCTTGCTCAAATTGCAGCACTGCTCAAGCATCTCTAAATAATATTTAAGAGGCTCACTTCCTCACCAATTACTCAAAAGAACTATAAATAATACAACGGTTTCGTCAGGGTATGCCTTCGTACATTCTGCGATTTTGCCGATTCTCACTGTAAAGGCATAGGCAGCTGTCGTGTCGGAAGGTAGACCAGCTCTGCCATTTCAGAGTCAGTGCCGCTCAAGCTTCTGCATCGGACGAAGCCTCACACTTCATTTCGATCAAAGCGTCGAACCTGCAGCGTCGTGTCGATACGGATATGCAGGTGTCAGCGGTGCTCGCGTTCCTGGCCGTGGCGGTCATGACCGTCCGCGCCGACAGCTTCAGCGCCGAGGACCAGGCAATCTGGATTGACCGGCACAACTACTTCCGCACCACAGGTCTGCCATGGTCGGCGGGGGACATGCGTCGCATCGGATGGAGCTCCGACCTGGCCACAAGTGCCGCCACCACAGCCTCCAAGTGCTCGGCCACTTCAGCAGCAGGTGTCAATGCGTACCAGTCTTCATCGGCCAACTCGTCGTCCATTATCGACGAGGCCATTCAACAATGGGTCGTGGAGACGTCCATGTCTACGCTTAAGACGTTGAGCCAACCGGGCGCTTCCGGCATAGACGTAGGAACAGGCACGTATAACGCATACTCACAGATTCTATGGGCCGCGACCACTAGCGTCGGATGCGCAACGGCTAGTTGCTCCGGTGGCGACTTCGTGGTGTGTGAATACTCGCCGGCAGGTAATGATGGGTCGTCACCTTGGTATGTCCACGCCGACACGGCCTCGGATTGCCCATCCGGCACAACAGCGGCACAGGGACTGTGTATCGTCGAGAGAGACGCGGCCAACAACCAGATCGCCCCAATTCCGGCGGGCAAATTGACTTACGAGGTGTATCCGGCCTATGTGGCTAACATTCAGACAGTGCTGATTGAGGCAGCACGTGCTTTGGCTAATGGTTCGGGTACGCAGTCGACGCAACAGACAGCAACAAACTCGACGGAGCAGACGGACACTGCGCCCACCGCGCCGGCAGCAACGCCGGCTGCGCCTACTACGCAGTCTTCGGGAGATTCTTCGTTTGCGGAGGACAGCAGTGCTGCTACTAAGACCGGCACCTCGACTGAGGGCAGCAGTGCTGCTACCAAGACCGGCACGTCGACAGAGGACAGTGCTGCTACCAAGACCGGCACGTCCAAGACGCCCACGTCGTCGACATCATCAGACTCGAGCTCAAGCTCCGAGCCCTCTTCCCCTGTCACTGAAGCCGGACAGGGGTCGGAGAAGAGCATCACATCGTCAAGTTCGAGCTCGAATTCCTCTTCTACCGGCACAAAGTCAGGCAAGACAAGTCAAGATTCAACGAAGGACTCATCAACACAACAAACGACCGATTCAAACGCGGACGAGTCGGCTCCCGGCACGGTAAAGGCGAGCTCCGACACCGGGTCAACCTTTACGAACCAGGCCTCGTCGAAGACGACGGAATCGTCGACGGAACAGACGTCACCCAGTACACCCAGTACACCCAGTTCGCCAGCCACCAATCCACCCAGCGCGGCTACTACCGAAAAGACTGCTGGTTCGGCTGATGCTTCAAGTATTAACAACCAGTCGGTCGCATCTTCCGGCGGAGGTATCTCTGCCGCCGGCTTGGCCGGTATGATCGTACTCGCGATTGTCGCCGTGGCTGCGTTCGGTGTGATCATGAGCTACAAGAGAAACCAGAAGCGGCAACGCGAGATCATGCGCGACGGCGGCATCCGGATCATTTAAGCTAGAGCAGTGGCGTGTCAACGTTGGAGTCAAACGTAAATCGAGCTGGACTTTGCACCCAACCAACGTCTGATGCTGTAGTCATAGTGCTGTCAACATAGTCCTGTGCCATGTTTAGAATTGAGTACTTATTGTGTCAAGCTTGCTTTATTGGTAGCTACAATGACCATTCCATTTCGATGGAAATTGGTCCTAGTTGCATCGATCCTTTGCCATCGAGATGACATAACGTGAATTGTACTGTAGTTGGTACTTGGTTGTTAATGAAACTTCACACTTCGAAAGCTATAAGAGATACTTGCTTCGAAGAAATTGGCTTGGTCACGGGTCACACCATGTAATTTTGTTTTCCAGTCGAAGCCAATGGTAACTTGCGTGAAAGCTAGATAGAACACAGTTTACGCTATAACGTCATCGCTGCTGTCTTCCACCCAAGCCAAGTGCAACACTTTAACCAAGCGCCTTTCGGACCGATACCGAAAGTTTCGGTATCTTGTAAAGTCGGACCACATTGTAACGCTGTGAATTGTAGCCTCGACTGTATTGCACAGTGTTCAAGCAACCAGTGACAGGTACAACGAATGTGAGAAGGTCGCTCCGCTTAGCTGAGCATTTTGCGCTTGAGCGCTTGTGCTGAATCAAACAGGCGGAAGAAGTACACAGTTTGAAAGCATCCCGCGCAGCGTGATTAAAAGGATTAATACGTTGTGAATCGATCGTATCTTCGAGCGTCAGAACTATCAGAATTCTGAGTGTAACACTGGCCCAGGGCCAAACACTTGAGTTGATTCGGTTTGGCTCCGGGCAATGTGGAGAGATTTGAGGTGTCTAAAAACGGACGGGAAAACACTCGAGGAAGTGTTCGCCATGTGGACAGTCCATCGCGACGACCCGAAAGCTTCACTTTCCGTTTTCCGTGCGCAGCACTGTAGGTCGCACCGAGAATTCCACCGCAAAAGTCTCAATAAATTCGCTGTAGCATGAAGGCTTCTACAATACTTGTCGTCTCGGCTGCTGCTGTCGTTGTTGTCAATGCCGAAAGCTACAGTGAAGCGGACCAAGCCATCTGGATCGACCGCCACAACTACTTTCGCACAACGGGTTTGCCATGGTCAGCCGGCAACATGCGTCGCATTGGATGGGATGCTGCCCTTGCTACTAAGGCTGCTTCGACTGCAGCCACGTGCTCGGCTACTTGCGGAAACGGTATTAACGCGTTTCAGACGTCGTCAACCAACGCGTCGTCGGCCATCGATGAGGCAATTCAGCAGTGGGTGGTGGAAACAGGCGTGTCGACGATCAATACAATGACACAGCCCGGTTCCAGCGGACTGGATGTGGGCGTAGGCTACTACAACTCGTACTCACAGATACTCTGGGCGGAAACAACTAGTGTCGGTTGTGCGACAGCAACCTGCTCAGGGGGAGAGTTGGTGGTATGTGAGTATTCCCCTGCAGGAAACGACGGAAAGTCGCCGTGGTACAGCCACGCGTCCCAAGCATCTGAATGCCCCGACGGAACAGTGGCGTCCGGTGATCTGTGTATCGAAGAGGGCAACGATGCCAACAACCTGATCGCCGCGATCCCAGAAGGCAAACACACCTACCAGAAATATCCAGCTTTTGTCGCGGATATCCAGACGATTCTAATAAATGCTGCAAGAGATATCGCCAACGGCTCCAATCCGCCGACGGCACAGTCAAGCCTCTCGACGTCGCCTACACCCGCACCAGAGGCAACCACATCAACCCCCTCTAAGAAAACCACAGCATCGACGTCACAGACGAGTTCTTCTGTCTCCAGTGACGACAGTTCTTCGTCGGAATCCTCAACAAAACAAGAAACACCGAAGAAGGCGACCGACACAAAGTTGTCGACTGAGGTCTCATCTGCGTCACAGGTAACGCAAGACGATGAACAAGGCCCAGGAACAGTCAAGGCGAGCTCGGAAACCGGTTCAACTTTTCAAAACGAGCCTGACACGTCTGCAACGAAGACAAGTACATCAGAAGGCACCACCACTAAGGAGAAGACGGAATCTCTGACCACTAGTACCGAGGAGGGAGGAGGAGCCTCGAACGGCATGACCACGCTCGGTATGGTCAGTATGTTCATTCTGGGCATTGCAGCCGTGGCTGGTATCGTTATGTTCGTGCACTTCAGAGCGTCAACAAAGCGCCAGAATGATATTCTTCTGGATGGCGGCGTCCGTCATTAAATGGTTGGTATCCCACCAGCTTCTCTACTTTACTAGCACGTACAGTGACTATGAATTGTCCTCCTCGAAGATAATACTTATGTAGTTCGTTTATCAGTTCGCTCAGTTTAGTAAAATTCAATTGTTTCTTTGCTTTTTACGTAGGACATGTGAGGAAGAATGAATGCGCTTCAACTTAAGCATTTCGTACTTTAATGAATGTACCCAAAATTGCAATGAGCTCAAAATCATTTGCACATTCTTGGGACTTTGTCGCCATGTCTTGCGGGTTCACTCCGGACTTGGCCCGGATGCTGGAGCAGATGGCCGTGGAGAAGGAGCGTCACGCCGTCGAGGCCCAGCAGCGTTTAGTGGAGACGGAGCAAAGTGTGGCCCGCGCCAAGTCGAAGGTGACAAAAGTTGAGGACAAGCACCACAAACAGCAGCTAGAAAATGGCTACAACTGGACTCGCACGTACGAGAAGTGGGATGCGTGGGAGGACCCCGAGGATCTCGCGAGACAAGAACAAGAGGCTCGAGAACGCAGTGAGCGCGCGGCAAAGGCGCAAATGGGCTGCAACCACGACCACTCGGCCGTAAGATATCACACACAAAATATGGCATTTATTTGTGGCACAATTGCTTATTTGTGGTATTTCCGTTTTTTGCTGTGTAGGAGCAAAAGCTAATGGACATGACAACCCAGGAAAAGACTACAGCTTGTGACGAGCTTAGAGTACTGGGCAACCTCTTCTTTAAGCATGGCCAGTACCAGAGAGCAGCTTTCCACTACCACAAAGCACTCGTGTACTTCGAGTATGTGTTCCCAGATACCGACGAAGAGGAAGCACAAGCGGATGCCTTGAAACTTAAACTGCTGCTTAACTTTGCTGCTTGTCGACTCAAGACATTGCATCTGGACGACGCAGTGCATCACGCGAACCAAGCTCTCGAAATTAACACAAACAATGTTAAAGCGCTCTACCGTCGAGCTCAGGCCAACCGATTAAAAGACGAATTCCATCTCGCCCAGAAAGATATCGAGCGTGCCATTAAGCTTTCGAATGCTACAGAAGATACGCCGTCGATAGATTCACTTTTGCTACAAGAGAAGAAGTTGCTACAAGCTAAAATGCTCGCGTATAAACTGCGGACTAAGCAGGTGTCGGCCGCGATGTTTGGCGATAAAATCAAGACACCAGAACGTCCCAATGGTCGATACGTCCCTGGCCTGCGTGCTCCAGACACAGGCGCTATGACTATTAACTTGTCGAAGAGTACCAGCTCATCTAGCGATGAATTCCTGTCTTTAAACACCTGGCAGCCGTCAACTCGAGGACTTGAAGAACTACAGACACTACTATCCGGTCTTGAGAGCCACTGAAAAAAAAATGTAACGAGAATTATATTCTATAGGATGGGTTGTACTAGAGAGGGTCTGCGGACTCTAGTCCTCAAACTTGAACGAGTTGGAAGCCATACTGATGGCACCGCACATGTACGTCGAGCGTTTGAGTTTGTTCTTGCCCTTCGTGAAGTCCTTACCACGCGTCTTAAGCAACTTGTTGTTGGCCTTCACACCGACACCGTCCGCGCCGAAAGTGCCTTCGTAGCTGTTGTCACGCAGCGTGTCGTCCACGATCTTCTGCGACCAGAACTCGCCGTCCACACGCTGGAACGGGGTACCTGCTGTCTTTGCCTCGGTGGCCACCTTCTCGATCTTCTTGGGTTGCCACTCCAGAGCGGCCTTGGCAGCCTGTTCGCGACGTGCAGCCTCCTTCTTCTGAGCCTCCTCATCTTCCGATTCCGAATCGGAATCCGAATCAGAGTCCGAAGAATCCGAAGAGTCCGACGAGCTGTCGTCTGAACTGGACTCGTCACGTTTCGCCTTCTTGTTCTTCTTCTCAGCAGCAGGAGCTTCAGCCTTACGTTTGTTGGACTTTGGCTTCTCCTCCTCGTCCGAAGAATCATCCGAGCTGGACGAGCTCTCTTCAGCTTTCGCCTTCTTGTCCGTAGCGGCCGCCTTTTTAGCCGGCTTGTCTTCCTCATCCGACGAATCCGAGTCGGAAGACTCTTCCGAACTCGAGTCTTTGGCAGCCTTCTTGCTGGCAGGAGCAGCCTTTTTGGCCGGTTTCTCCTCCTCATCCGACGAATCGTCCGAGTCGGAAGAGTCATCCGAGCTAGATTCCTCCTTCTTGACGGCAGTTTTCTTAGCGGCCGGCTTCTCCTCTTCCGACTCGTCATCCGAATCCGAGTCCGAGCTGGAGGATTCTTCCTTCTTGGCCACTGTCTTTTTGGTCGGTTTCTCCTCTTCCGATTCATCGTCCGAATCCGAGTCGGAACTAGACGAAGATTCCGCCTTCTTAGCAGCCGATTTAGCCTTGGCCTTCGGCTTCTCCTCCTCCTCCGACGATGATTCCTCACTACTGGACGTGACCTTCTTGGCCGGCGTCTTCTTATCATTCGACGAGTCCGAACTGTCACTGGAGCTGCTGCTCTTTGCTTTTTTCTTCTGTGGCCGCTTGGCCGCGTCCACCACCGACGTGGCCGGCACCTTGGCCTTCTTCATGTTGTGCATCAGATAGAAATTGTACACATCCAGCAGGTCGTGTTCGCTCTTGAAGGCCTTGGGCTGAAGCTTGGCCTCCTTGGCCAGCGCGGCCGCCGACTTCTTGAGACCGGCGCCGGTCAGCAGAGCATGCACAAGCGGGAAAACGTCACTGGCCACCACCATCGGAGCGAGTCGGTACGAGGAATGACGTCTGTCCATCAGATCCCAACGCCAATCAATGGCCGGCATGAAACCTGTGGAATTTACTAAACTAAATTGTATTGTATAATACAGGTATTTTTTTTTCTTAATCATTGACTTTTCGGTCGGAGTGGTTCGTGCAACCTTAACTTAAAGTTGTTTTAGCCAATCTGAGACAAATATGGTTGCTGTATTTCAGTTTCAAAAATTTCAAGGAAACTTATTTCTCTAAATTACCGTATTCGCTTAGATACGAATTTGAAGTGATCACGTTAAGTACGACAGCGGAGGGCCTCATATTTCCAGAACTGCGCGACGCTAGAAGCATCCAGACCTCGGGCGGCGCGATCGGTGAGCCCTGCACAGCTGGACCGCACACGGAAGCGCGAGGAGAGTTCCATCCACAGCCCTCCAAGAAGACTCGCTTATGAGTGAGGCAGAGGGTGCGCCGCCACATGGTTAGGATGAGCTGATCTGCTGCAGATACCGTTTTAGAATTTTCTAACCTTTCTTGTACAAACATTTTAGGGCGGGCCCTGCGAAAGGGAAAGCAGACAGAGCTGAACTACATGTATGCCGCTCTTGGCATGGAAAAGGACGACAGCAGCGATGCCAACTTTCTGCCAGACGACAGCGAAGAGTCTGAAGACGTCGACCAGTCTTCTGATGACTTGGATGATCCTGCCCCACAGAGTTCGATGGAGACGTCGTTTTATGTGAAACGTTAATGGTTCTAACAGCGTATATGTTGTGTGTTAGGTCGCAAGGGGAAATCGCAGATAAAGAGGGCCAGAAAGATGCAGCAAAAGCCGTCCAGTACGTTAGATATTGTTGCTTTAACATTATGGTTGCCGTTAATTGAGGCACTCACCACATCTTCACCACATCTGTTAATGCTGTTTTTAGCAATCGGGAAGGGGAAAGTGTTTTGCGGCGCAAAACGCCTGCACTCACCGCACGTCTCCACCGAGGAGCGGAGCCTTTCTCCTCACTATTCGCCTCCCCCCTTTAAGAAAGAAAATACTGTGTCAGACGCACCCCTTGCAAACATTCCGAGGGACAAGACGGCAAAAGACTGTAAGAAGGACATTGCTATACCGGAGTCGACGCGCCCGGAGTATGTTCCTCGAAAACGGTCAAGCAAACACATTGACGAGTTGAAGTTCATGCAATTGGACCGTGAGGAGATCATCAACGTTGTTCCGCCGTTTCCCTCTCTCCCTATCCACAGCTGGGAAGAGTTTGACAAGGTGCTTGAAACCTACAAGGACCAAAACAATCTCAAGTTCCGGGTTCGAAGCTCGCAAACTACAGAGTGTTACAACAGGTAGTTTTTGCTTTTGCTTTTTACGTGCTAAAACCTAACTCGTGAATGTGTTGCTTTATTGTGTAGTACAAACGACGATCAGATACCCACCGACTTTCAGTGGGCCAGCAGAATCTTTCGCTGTACACACGGGGTTTCACAGAGCTCTCGCTCTAAAGGACACCGCAACCGCAAGATTCGCTATTGCGGGTGCAAGGCTCAGTTTACAGCCATTGTGATCCGGACATCTACGGAGGGTTTTACTATCAAGATTCGCAACGAGGTTTGCTATCGGATATTATGGGTGTTATTATAGTTACCGACCGCTATCTGCTTTGTCCAGAATCACACCCATTCCCACCCTACCACTGCGTCTGAAGCCTCGTCATATCTGACGACTAAGATCTTACCATTGGACGAGAAGGATCGTGAGGACGTGAAAACCTTGGCGGATGCACGTGTTTCTTCGAAGCACATCTCCAGCTTTTTGAATGAGCGGATTGGTATGTAAGTCAGATTTTATTTTAATTTTATTTAACACGTCTGCTACTATGTTCTTCGTATGACTGTATATGTAAATAATAGGCTGCCAGATTACTCCACAGCAGACCCGCAACCTCATTCGCAATATCATGGGGAGGGATTCTGCTGAAATCCGATTGAAGGACATGCTGCACGCGCTGCGCCAATTGGATGGCAGTGATGTTCTCGTGATGCAAGACCAAATTGGCGTTACAACCGGGATCGTTTTGCAGACAAACGTGCAGAAGCTAATGTTCGAGCGATGGGGTGAGACGTTAGCGATGGACTTTACCCACGGAACGAATAATCTGGGCTATCATCTGGGTGCGTACAGCTATGGTTGTTGTAACTTTATTCTGATGTATAACAACCTTATCTACTTAAAGTTGCTGTATGATTAACTCAACTTTGTTTTGGTTTTGACCTTTAGGAAGTTTGGTTGTCACCACAGCTACGGGTCGAGGGTTTCCGGTTTTTGATTTCATTTGTCTCAACAAGCAAGCACTGACAATGTCCAGAATTTTGGACTACTTCAAGGAGAAGAACTCGGGCTGGAAGCACATTCAATCGGTGGTAATTGACAAAGATTTTGCTGAGTGGGGCGTATTAAAGGTTGTCTTTCCGAGAGCCAAGGTTCTGTTATGTCAGTTCCATGCGATTAGTTCCTGGAAGAAGGTAATGAAGCGTCCGTTGTATCGCCTAAGAGTTTCGCAATGTGAGGAACTGCTGGTCCGAATGATCAAACTACTTTACAGGTGAGTAAGGTTGCTTTTCACCGTGTATGTGGAGGCTAATTTGTGATTGCCTTTGATTTATGTTAGTACCTCTAGTACCAGATACAACTTCTACTACGACGCACTGCGGCAGTATTGTAATGACCAGAAGCGCGAAGCCTTTTTTGCGTACTTCGATAAAAACTGGAACTCGTGCCGTGACATGTGGGCCAATTTTGCTAGAGGGAAGGCTTTTACTGCTGGCAATACCACAACGAATAGAATCGAGTCAAACTGGAATCAAGTCAAGATGCTGCTTGGTCACAAAACGAGAATTGACAAGACTATTGCTAGGTTGCTTCAGCATCAAATGACAATTACGCAGAAAATTGTTTTCACTATTGGACATCAGCACTCAGCTTCACGTGCTCCCAAGACGGTGCCAAAGTTTTTGCGATCTGTGGCTAATAGACTGTCTGCGGATATATTTTCGACGGTCAAGAAGGAGTGGGAGCGCTTCGTCAACCTTATGGCAGGCGCTTTGTGCAAACGAGTTGCTGGAAGTGTTTCGTTTTGGAAGGTCAACTGTGGGAATGAAACACTTGTGTGCAACGATGGAGAATGGACATGTATCTGCTTATTCTTCAAGAGTCATCATCCACCTTGCCGACACATGATGCATTTGGCAGAATCTGGACTTCGGCTCAATATGTTACCTGTTACTTCGATTGACAAACGATGGAGTTTGTCGGTGGCCTTAGAAGCAAAGGAAGACCTTGCTGCGGCGGCCGACTTACTGAAACCTATTGTGCAAATGTCCAAGTTAAGGTCGCCGAAAGTAAAGTTGCCGGAGGATGACAAGGTTGCGGAACAAAGTGATGATCACGGATCCTGTATGACAGCTTCTAAGATACCCAAAGAGATTGCCTACGTTCGCCTTCACAGGAAGGAGCGTGCCAACCAGGTGGTTTTGTCGTCATCAGGAAAGTATTCATACGCAAAAGCAGTGTTAGAGCCTCTGCTGGAACATTTATCGTGTCTATCAAGCGCTGATTTCTATCAAGAACTCTCTGCCTGGAAGGACACGGTGGAGATTGGTATCAGCCGCGAAGTCAATGGTAATCGTGATGACGGTAGTAGTATCGAAGACGATGACGATCAAGACGATTGCTCCTCGCTTGACCCACTTGAGGCAATGGAAACAGCGAAACTTATGGACGAGCTAGAATCCGCTTCGCCCTCTACAGAAGCCTGCACGGATAGTGGAGGTGCATCTGAGTCTGAAGCATCTGAGTCTGAAGGGGACAGTGCAAACCCAGAACGCGTCAATGATACTAATATGTCGCTGCCAGATCCGGAAGTACCAACAATTGCAAGCCGTGCTGTTGATATCATAAGCCTTCCTCCGCCTAAACGTCGCGGTAATTCCAGGGTGACGACGAAGCAGCTCCGCCAAACTACGTTGACATTCGGTCGACCCCGTCTAGCTATTCACATATACCCAGCTGGGCTTACTGTGACTCTTGATCGCTTTGTACGTTGGGCAAGGAACACGGAAAACTTGAAATTTGTCATGGATACACTTGCCAAGTATCCAATTCAGCTTGAAGATCCCTATTTGAGAGCCCGTAGCATCGAGTGTCGGTGGGAAGCAATGCGGCACACGGACTACATGCACGCATTTGCAGTTCCAATTGATATCAGTCGATCACTCCAAGCCGCCGTCACGACAGCATGGATAGAACAGGACTCGCCGGGTCCACTCGAAGATAGCGTGAAGAATCAAGGGATCGTCCTTGATATTGTCGCCACTATTGATCCGAAACTCTGGAAGTTTAGCAGGTAAGGTTGTTTTACCAATAAGGTTGCCATATTATGGTTGCTACAACCGGGTTGCACTAACGGAATGGTTGCTCTACATCTACAACATCTCGCAGCAAGCTTGTAGGAGCTTTGACTGTATCCACGATGTCAAATTAGAGGGACGAACGTGGATTGAAGACCGGAAATGGCTAGAGCAAAACTGGCGAATCATCCCATCAAATGTGAGCCTCTTAGAAGAAGAGACAAAGACTCAAGGCTTACAAGAAGTAGCTATTTGCAATCGACATCAAGACTTGGCCAACGAAGTGATTGGGAAGTTTGCATCAAGTCGCTTACTAACGGAATTTCGGACGCTGCACGGAAATGGATCGATCACTTTCGAAAACATTCTCGGTGGTCTATGTCGGGGCTGGCTTAATGACAGTCACATAGACTTCTGTTTACGAACAATTGGAGGGGTTGTTGGTGGCTGCTACGTGATCTCGTCACTGATGTGGGATATCGGGTGGCCTTCTACACCAAAAGTATCTATCGGAGAACTTAACTTTGTCCTCCACGCAGTACACCTGGACGGCAATCATTGGGGAGTCATTATCACGCGTTTTCACACGACGGCA